TGTGTCGTTTGGTGCAAAGACCGTTGTTGCTCGTCAGTCTGGATTGTCTTTCGGCACATATACGTCGAATTGAATATCACGTCTATCCTAAAGAGAAATACATTAGCACCATTCTATAAACACATCTTTATTCTCCCGTTCTAATACTTACGTTTCTGGTAGCTCAATCTCGAGCTCGAACGGACCTGTTGTTAGTGTATTCACGAGAGGGTTCGTATGTTGCGGTCGGGGAATGGTGCCGGTGACGGTTATGGTTTTATTGTCACCACTCACCGCGACTTCTATTTGATCTTTTTTCATGCCCGGGGTGTGGGCGACTATGACAAAGAGTATCGGTTCAGCAGCGAAATTGAGATAGATTCCTTTGGCTTTAAACAGTGTATGTTCTGCTCTATTTCCTTTCTTGACTTCGAGGACATGTACGGCCGTTGAGTTTAAATGTACCAACATCGTGAGATTAAGCGAAAGGACGTCGCAAATGTGTTTCTTTATACAAAATGTGATCAGGTATATGGTGCGAGTGGATAATAATCTAGAAGATGGTAAAGTATGTTGAATGTAGCAGCGGGATTCGGGAAATAGTGGGTTATTTTTTAATAGACAGACAAATGGAATTATTATTATATACGAGTTGTAGCGTGCCGTGTAATCGTTTGTGGGTATCTTTTGAGATACATTTCGATCGGATTACGTGTATACGGATTGCTGTGTGCATTTGTAAAATAGTTGCGTAGCGTAATGTTGACACGGATAAAAAGATGATGAGCAATAGCCCTTACAAGCATAGTCTTGTCCATTCCAGATGGATTCCACGAAGAGGGTCAGAGAATATTTGTTGATCAGTGCACTTTTGGCTCAAGTGTTTGTTTAAACAATAAGCATGTTTGATTAGTAAGCATAACACATCGACGTAAAATATGTGTGAGTGAAAGCTGATCGATCTGGATTAAGTAAAAGAAAATGAGGTCATAACGGTATATGGTAAGTGTCAGCGTTCTGGCTCGTAGTAGAATTCCCTTTTCGATTAACAATTTCCTTTGAGCTTGGTGTCGACTAATCAACACATATACACCTGATCTGTTCTGGATACTACATCATATTTCGACACACATTTCTTGTTATACATATTTAGTATGGTCTAAATACAATGCTTCAATAATTGTCGTACAAACAGTTTAATCGCTACATATAGAAGACAACACACAATCTACGTCATAATACGACTCGCTCTTCGATATCAAATCGTTGAATTTCTATTTACATATTACAAACAGTCATCATACGATAAACTCTTCAATAATGACATAGTTAATAGTTTGTCGGCGATTAAAGTTGATTAAAGTTGAATCACTATATACACATAGCATCGCTCTTTATCATGTGATGTGTCAGATAATTAGATTGACTATAACGTTAGTAAGGGACCGGCAAGATGCTGAAGAGCAAAGAAAGCAAAGTGTAGCTAATACTGTAATACAGCATATTTTGGAAATTAGAAGAAACGAACCTAATAAACACAGCCTTAGTTTATGTAAATTGAGTTCTGCCGACTCTGAACGTGATCATCAAAGTCACATTCTATTGCGTCATATATAAATGGTCCAACAGGAACCGATTGATTAACTAACTCTCTTACACGTCGAAGAAATGAATAAAACTCTCTACTATGTTATAGGCGCTCTCGTCCTTCTTCCTGTTATCACTTTTACATCTTTTCCGTGGCTTCCTAACGTTTTTTTACTTATACTACAACTTCTCAGGTATTATTATAATATAAAGCCAAAGCATATTATACCGTCTAATACATACCTACAACTTTTCATTCACAGCATTTTTAGTAATACCTCGGCCTCGAACGATACTTCAGGAGACACTCCATCGAACAGTACCTCAACATCCGAAATTCCACCTTGCTTCAAAGGATTAGAAGAGGAGTGGGCAGAGCTTAATAAAGACGGGCAAGGTGTTTATCATTATTTTGAATATAGCCAGTTAACTGTACTAAAGGTTGATATATACTAACTACATAATAGATTTTCAGAGAGAAATTTGGTTCAAATCGCACATCGCTTTGTCAAGAAGCAAGTATTTAATTTATGTGTAATATTGCTTTACTACGACAATACTTTTTAACAATTTATTCTTTTACAGAAGAATATATCACTCCTTTGGAGCACCTGGCCAACTATCTTAGAAAAACGCGTCTACAAGTTGACTATTTTGGAGATATCGACGACGAGGAAGAGCCATGTATGTCCAACGACGAGGAAGAGTCATGTATGTCCAACGACGAGGAAGAGTCACGTATGTCCGATTGATCGCATCTCGCCGACAAATAACGCTAACCGCCGACGCGACGCTATTGCAAGTATTGGCTATTTGAGCGGATTTCAGAAGGCAATTGTGATGGAATTAATAATCGATATTTCTTATGCGACAATAAACGAATTAGTTTCACGTATGTTTCCCCAGGTTCTGGGTCGGATCAGATCTAGAGTCACAGAGCATGTTGAGGTTAGATTTAAAGTCGGACGCACAGTCAAATTTACAGACTATAAATAATTGCTATTATGCTTAAAACGATTAAATAAATTACAGAAGTATTTCGCAGATAAATAATTGCTAAAATAAAATTTATGCATTGATTTGCTATAAAAAGAATACCCACTATTACAAGATAACACATGGAAGACTTGTAATAAAAAGAGTCTTTACGATATTGATACGACTTTATTTCCAAGCTACGATATCCTGAAGAAGAGTCTTTACATTGATCACATAACATTGAATAATTCCCATTTTGTACAAAATATTAACGAACATGGCATCCGAGCTTGAATTGTTAAGACCGTGCATTATATTCCAGACAATCAAGAAAGCGTCTCTTAAAATTCCAGATAAGTGTAGAGGCATGAAAAAAAGAGATCGATCATCTGAAATGCAAAGTAGATCGTGTTTGTTTAACGATCAGATTCATTTCAACGATAATTTAGCTTTTTATTAGAGAACAAGAGTTCGATACTGGCTAGTTACTTGATTTCTCACAATTCGGGATCAATGATCAATGACATGGAATTTGCTAAATAAATCGAAGACCCAATAATTTCACCTCAGGTTCGGTCAAGATGTGAAGTTTTAGCAAATGAATCGTTTTATTACCGAAAACTTCTATTGTTATCTTCGCCTTAAACAAAAAAAATTGTCAAGTTGCTGAATTTAAAACACATTAGATCATATGACGAATACTTTGGTAGGTAATTGAGGCGAGGACTTATACTTTTTCTCGTAGTAGCACAATATAAATAGTGCCTGCTTCTCGATGGAGGGGAAATATGACGAAAAGTTTTGATTATATTCACGACAGAATGAAATCAATTAACCCATAAATGGAATTATTAATTATGGGTTGAATTAAGGGCGTTCGGATTAACATATTATAAGTTCGATCGAATTACTGGAAAGTCGAATCATAAAGAGTCTGTTGTACCGATGTCCGGTTATAACACCATTTATGTCCTCATTGATATCGATCAGGTGGCATCAAAGCTATTAGGAAAGGTTTTCTGAGCTTTCACGTCCGAATAATGAGAATCCAGAACTAGCTACTATACACATTGAGACCGTAAATAAGATTCAATACAACCACACGAGCATGAATAGATCAACTGAAATATCAGACCGAC